TGTGACACTACGGTGCAATGTCGTGGCTGAATACTTTTGGATGAGGGGACATTTTCAGATATTTTTGAAAAAGGACAGAAAAAATGCATTTTAGTCGTTATTTTTATGAAATGTGATACATGTTAATTGGTAGTCGTTACCTTAATAAATTGAAAAGCAACTGATTTTCGGTATATTTTTGCCTTTTTTTTTGAAAATACGATAGTATCTTAACATTTAATGGCCATAAAGCATAACAGTTTGAAATGAAAAATATCACTGATCTTGTTTGTCGAAAAAATGAGTAAGTGCCTCCCCTTTTTAACTCTACTGTCAATATGTGTGTGTACAAAATGATGCCTTTTCAAATAATAATACTTGTGCTGAGATATTTTCATTGCTGCTTTGAAAATAGATCCCTGTTTTAATGTTATTTCAATTTAGTGGATTAATAAATTATGGTCGTTAGAAAGCCGAATCGTAATCTTAAACCCAGGCTGGAACGCACCAACCTTGCCGGTGTGATCATGCGTTTTCGCATCAGACTTCAAGTAATTAGGTTAATTGCATGAATGGTTGTTGCTTCATACCTAACTTGTGCGCCCACTGCCTTCATACCTACCTTGTGCACTCACTACAGTAAATCGTAAATTTTGCATAAACCAAAAAAAACAATTTCCACTTAGCAGTCCTTTTTGTGCATTTTGCATATATGCAAATTGCAACCCAGGCTGGAACGCACCGGACGGACCCGTGCGATCATACGTTTTTGCACTGGACTATTACTCAGGTCATTAACTGCACAAACGGCTGATGCTTTACACCTGCTTTTTGCAGTCACTAGCATAAATCACCATAAATTTTGCAAAGTAATTGTATAATTTCCGTCTAACAATCGTTCTTTAAAAGTAACCTAGTTCTTCAGTGGGAAATTTTTTCGCCAAGAATTTTAAGTGCCCGTAGTTGAGAACCACGCATACCTGAAGGCCGAATCTGAAATACTTAAGTTGTACTTGGACAGGGAACATTCCCCCTAAATTTCAGCTTTCCAGCTTTTCTGGTTAATGAGTTAGCAATTTTCCAGCCAAAACCTTCACGTGCTCCTGTTTGGGTACTCAACGTGCCTGGAAAGCTGAATTTGAAATTTTTAAATTGCACATGGACGGGGAATATCTACTTCAAATTCCAGCCTCCCAGCTCTTCTGGTTGTCAAGTTAGTAATTTTCCTGCAGAAAGTTTCTTACGCCCTTACGCGAGTACCATGCATAGCTTGAGGCTGAATTTGAAATATTTGAGTAGTACTTGGATAGGATAGGGAACATTCCCTCAAAATTTCAACTTCCTAGCTTTTCTGGTACCCGAGTTAGCAATTTCCCTCCCCAAAACTTTCACACGCTCTTACGTGAGTACCATGCACAGCTGGGGGCTGAGTTTGAAATCTTTAGCTAGTACTTACACAGGGAATATCCGTACAAAGTTTCAGCCCCTTAGCTCGTGTGGTTTTCGAGACAGCTTTCCCGCCAAAAAATTTGTATATTTTTTTAAAGCGTCCGTGCGCGCCACCCAGGCGTCCGCGGGGGAACAAATTAAAAAGGGAGGGTCGCGCACGGTATAGGCACATATCCTCAAAGTTCCAGCTTTCTAGCTATTCTGGTTCTCGAGTTGAAAGTGGGTGACAAAAAGTGCAAACACACAGACACAGACACACACACACACACAAACAAACAAGCAACCCAATGACAATATGCGTTTTGTACTGCCGTTATGCAGCAAAAAACGCACAATAAAGCTTTTTGTTAGCTAGTGCGCCACAAGCGACCACTAAGCACACATAAGTGTCTCATCTTACTCTATAAATATCTTTGAAGTGTCATAAATGCAAATCAAGACTCAGTTTGCTCATACTACGACTTTCTGTACGGGCTGTAAATACTACGAGAAAATTACAGCCGCTGTTTTCAGCCCAGTTTTCGAGTTGGCTCAGTGCCAAATTCGAACTATTACGTGATCGTATGGGCGGCACAATTGTATGCAGAAGCCGAATTTGCAGCTTTTAGCGCATGCATAGACGAAGAATATCCTGCAAAGTTTCAGTATTCTTTCCTGTTTGCGCTTTTTTCGGTGGTCTGCAAGCGAGACCTAGGTGGCGAAAAAAGGAGCGGAACCAAAACTTATAAAACTGAAAATGAATGTTGCTGCTGATATTAGCTGTCACATGCTTCTCTTTCAAACTTGGTACGAGATTACCAACAGAATTGGTGTTCATATAATTGAGCCAGCACGCCGGCTCTAGCTGATTCGATCCAAATAAACTAATACGTTGCCTCCCTCGAGTCGAATACCACGTCTCAAATTTGGGTTATTAAACCTTCATTTAAATTGTTTAACAAAGCGCGTGTTAACGAAACGATAGCTGGCAACAAAGCGAGTTGGGTCTGTAGAGTGCAGTGTTTCGTGCTGTAATGAGATCACTTGAAAACCAAGTAGCTAGAAATGTGTGACATACTGGCCCTCGGATTTCGGGAAGTTAATCATCTACGCTATATTCGGATAAGGAACTTTCAGCACCCCTCCCACTTCCCTCCCGTCCTCCAGTTTCCCTGGTTCCGGAGTTAGTCAATTTCCATTTCCACGAGACCGTACGCGGCAGTCACTGCCCGGCGGCTAAACTTAATAAATTTATGTCGTGAATGAACCAGGAACACTCCTTGAAAATTCCATCTCCCCAGCTTTCCTGGTTCCGGAGTTAGCCATTTTCCCACCAAAAACTTTCGCGGGGCTATACGTGAGAACCACGCATAACGAAGGGCTGAATTTGTTAAATTTAAGTTGTACATGGGCTGACAACATTCCTTTAAACTTTCAGCCTCCCAGCTGCCCTGGATCCTAAGTTGGCGATTTTTCTTCCAGGAAACCCCACAGGGCAGTATGCGGGAAACACGCACACCTCGGAATTGGATTTGAAGTTTTTGAGTTCTATATGGATGAGGAACATAACCACAAAATTTCAGTTTTCTAGCTTTTTTGGTCCCCGAGTTAGCGATTTCCCCGCCAAAACTTTCATGTGCTCACACGCGGGGTTTAGACGTGCGTGAAGATTAGTACCGTGGTCCTGGGGTGGCACTTGGCCGGGATCCCACTCGCAAAATTTTGGCGCCGGAGCTTGCTTGGATGCCGAGTTGAAATATTCGGACAGACGCACAGACACACACATATATATATACACACCGGGGTCGTTAAGAAAATACAAAGTCGCAACAAAAAATCAATTTAAGGAAAAAAAGATGGCAGGTCCAGTTATTGCAATTTTGACGAAGTGAAACTGTCGACAAACTCGACAGCGGAAGATGAGCAAAGGCAGAAGCCTTGAAAGATCAGCGGTAGATCAGTTTCAGTTTTAAATTGTTCAAAAACCTGAACGCGGACAAGTGCAAAACCCAGAAAAATTTATTCAATAAACCGGATATTTCAAATATAATATATGATGGATACATCAACACATATCATATAAC